GCAACAACAACCTCAGACACGTATATTTGCTTCTATACGTCGTGTTACTTTTCAAACTGGGTTTGCACCAGCGTATTCTAGGCTTTAACCTGGCCATCTTACGGCCATCGTGTTTGGTCACAAGCGTTTAAACCACTCTTTACAAGTTTATATCCGAATATGCCACCGCTGCTCCGTAATAGCGCCTGTTTCATAAGCTCCTTTTATGTATCATTGGTCCAAGAACAGAGAACATTGTCAGGCATACATTTTTGTTAAATGCCTCTGCGGAGGGCAGGGCTCACGGAGCTTGATTTTTCATGCGTTTCAAAAAGTAGTAAGCAGTATACACTACTCAAATGGGTATTTTGCTGCATTTTTCCTGCATTAGATTCGGAATATCCTTATCGGTCTTGACTTTCCCGAGTCGGCTCTCTCCGACAAACCGATCAATTTCAACACTAACTGTTGCCCAGAGCATGCCTATATTGGGGCCCTACTGACTTCCGGACTCTACCCAAACATTGCGTATCATTCTGAGGGCAGACGACTCTTCACTGCTGAAGGAAAGTTTGCGCTGGTTCACAAGGCCTCTGTCAACTGTCGGAAGAATGCAACTTTTGTCTTCCCCTTGTTCACCTTCACAGAAAAGGCAAGTCCGATCAGACATCCCAACTCTACGGTCTTTGTGCCCTCCGCTGGCTTCGTTTTATTCTCGTGTTCCAACCCGTTTTCGATCCTAAAATGCACTGTTTTATGTCTACTGTCGGTATCACGATGTATGCTTTTGAGGTTATGCGGTAGACTCATGATCACCTATTTAATTGTCACAAGAGGAGGAAAACCAATAATCCACAATTTTCAATTCTTTGTTAACGATCCTGGACGAGGCACTATTTAACGGCCGAGGATATCCTCTTATACAGTAGATGACCATACTCTCGATACTACATCAACCAAAGTACCCAATTAAAAATGAAAAAATTTCAACTTAACAGAAATGCCAGAAAACTATCGGAAAGAATAGTGTTTTGGTTAAAAATAACAGATTTTTAAGAAAAGCGGAAATTTCGTTAACGGATGGTCATACCTAATGAGCCAGAATGATTTCTTTGGTTTCCTGGAGTGGAACATTATAGGAATGAATGCTTTATGGGACCATAGGTCGAAAGGCTGGTCAGTGACTACATATGTACTTTCAACACATTTGTTGTCATTGAAGTCACAAGTCTGTGAGGCGGTTATACAGGGTGTCCACGAAGTCTAGGTACATAGGGGATAAATACATACCTTT